AACATTTTAAAGTTAGCTTACCATACATTTTAAAGAAGGTGGGTATCAAACTTGCCTGCAAATGAAATCAGTTGCATTTTACATTCCATTGTAAGCAGGTCCTCCACCACCTTCGGGTACCACCCAGTTAATATTCTGACTTGGATCTTTAATATCACATGTTTTACAATGCACGCAGTTCTGAGCATTTATCTGTAACCGAAATCCATCACCTTGTTCCAAAGGGACAAATTCATAAACTCCTGTAGGGAGAAATCAGTAATATTGTGAAATACCTAACGTTAACTTTAAAATTAAAAAAAAAAAACCAAAATGAAGACCTGGAAACTACCTACAGAAACCTGAAAGGCTGGTTTTCTGAATGTTTACCCATAGAGAACATTACAAAGATCTCGTGTGCTATTGCTATTAGCATAAATTAAATACAGACAAAAGCAAAAGGTACAGCACTATTTGGCTGAATCATACTAACACGGGAACTCAATGTTGAGCAGTTTTTGAGGCGTGTGCGCGCGCGCACGCAGGCACTGTAACTGAAAACAAATGAGGTCTAGTCCTTACCCTCAGTTTATAACCCAGTGTGATGACAAATTATTAAGAAATCAGTCAAAAGACAGACTCCTTGCCCTCAAAAAGCTTACATTTTAGTCCCAGAATGAACTTGTTTTTACATATCTGAATACTATTTTTTTTTTTAAGATTTTTTTTTTTTTTAATTGGGGAATCCAGGGAAGGGCAACAGACAAGTTGCTGTTTTGTTCTTCAGTCTAGTTGAGGAGGACGTTGCTTCACTGGCCCAAGATGGCACCATTATTGCGCTCTTCCTGGGCAAGGCAGATCAGTCGCCGGCTTCTGGACGGCCACTCATGGTGGCTGCTGGCTGCCGGCTACTTATGGTAGCTTATGGCAACCCACTGCAGCAGGGACTGCAGCCTATACCATCACTGGCTACCCACAGCAGCCCAGCTCCAGGTCGAGCTGTTGTTCAGCATCTTAGCTGTAGAGGGCAGTGAAACTGGCTCTCATATGTGGGATCCGAACCGGGGTCCCTGGCATCCCAAGCCAGCTCTTAACCAACGCGCCACTCGGCCGGCCCTGAATACTATTTTAATATCATTTGAGATCCAGTTATTATTTTATAATTCTAGCTGGAAACTCAGCATTAGAAGTTACAGTAATCATGATGAATTTAAAGTGTGGGAATATTTCCTTGAGCGCAATGTGTCTACAGCCTACTATGTTAGCATCTACACACATACAGTATGTTTGTGTGTGAGCAGCCATGGTGATTTTTTTAAAAGTCATGAACATGTAAAGTATTATTCTTTGGTGTTCCAAAATCCTTACCTTGGTCTGAAGGTAGACACACACAAAAGCTTTTTTTGAGAAACGTCATCTGAATTGGGCTTAACAAAAAAAAATTCCTATTTTAACATT